TGCTCATTTATTAACCTCGAAAGGAAAAAAGACCAGTGACTCTGACCGGAGCTCGACCCCAGGACCTCTCGTATCTGAGTCCGACTCTCTATTGACCAAGTATCTCAGGTCAGAAGCGACATGTAAATACAGATTGTTCGCGACGGAAACGAATGAACTCGGCACCTTCATTGTCCAATTGCTAAGGCGACCTCTTACCCACCACGCCACTGCGTTTAAAAGATGCTAAAGCAACTGCGCCCCGCATTGCAAATCTTATCGAACAGTTAGTAGCATAATTACTAAGCAACTTCATGGACTGATAGTCAACTCACAACGTTTTTTCTTCATATTTTCATTTTATCCTTCAACGGTAGAATCGATAGATCGTCCATAAAGCTTTACGCATAAGTACAATCGTTTCCCATTCGTCTTCGTTATCGTTTGCCAGTCAGCTGCATCCCAACGAATCCTGGTTTTGAGTTGAACGTAGATTTTTATAAAATCTTGCGCTACAGACATTTTCGCTACATCTCAATATTTATCAGAATTTGACGATTTGTGTTTGTTTAAGAAACTGCAAAAGAAGCATGGCTTATCACTGCCCCTATCCGCCTACCTCATAAAACCGGTCCAGCGGATCACCAAATACCAGTTGTTGCTCAAGGACCTGCTTCATTGTTGCGAGGAGGGGAAAGGCGAGATAAAGGTATGCTGTTTTGTATTATACAATTTTTGAAAAAAATTCCTCGTTTCTAAGAGTGCATGCTTGCTGTTCCATTAAGTTTTTCATTAAGTAGGAATATATATCGCAAATGCAGCAGAGCTTAATTCCAGTTTTATGTTTCTAATTCCATTATGTTCCATTTAGCTTGTATCTCCCTCCTTCTCCGTAGATATTTGTAACGGTATAGGCACAGATTTAAAAAAACTTCATAGGTTTCAAAGTTCACGATTATTTGTGCCAGTGTAATAATGTCCATTTAATGGTCCACGTTTTTCCCGAGTCAGACTCGCTTGGAGCTGAATATCAAGGTGTCAATTTCTCCGTGTTATCGAGCCATCTAGACCTCGGTGTCTGTCCATTGGCCAACATGCATGCAGTTTTGTAAAGAGAGCCTGCGTTACGAGTTTTCTATTTGCCATTCCAATATTCCTATCACATGTTCAGATCGTTGCATTTGTATTTTCTCGAAAGGGCAATGAAATGTAGCTCCATAAGTATGGAAATGTAGTATTTATGTTGTTGTAAAAAGAAAATATATTGTTTTTAGGACGGCTTGGACGTCATGCTAAACGTACCCAAAAAGGCCAACGACATCATGCATTTGAACATGGTCGACGGGTGTTCGGTAATCGTAGGAAAATTTATGTTCATCACTTTACTGATTCACTTTTGCTAGGATATCGATAGTCTCGGCGAAGTACTTTTGCAAGAGTTCTTTGTCGTTTGGGATCCGCGGCAGCTTATCAAGAAGGGTCGCGAAAGGCAAGTCTTCCTGTTCGACTTATGCCTGCTGTTCTGCAAGAAAGTGTGCGACCAGTTGGGCAAGGTCAAGTACCTGCTGAAGTCCCGTTTGCTAGTAACTTGTTCCGTTGACCATCATCTGTTTTCCTTAATCACCGGTTGTTTGCCTAGACGTCAGAAATCAACGTCACCGAACACATAGAAGGCGACGAATGCAAGTTTGCGACGTGGACAGGTGGAGTTCCTACTAGCGAAACGCGGACGATATACAAGGTAATGACATGACAGTCACAAATTGTCGGTTGCTGATGAGACTGCCGGATCGCATCTTTTGCCAAACAGTTTGCCAGTTTTTTTCTTCTTGACATTTGGCTCACACTTTGATTCAGTTATTAGCCGTCAAAATAACAGAAACGTTTCCTACGCAGAATTTGGAAGAATTTTGGCTTTCTTTATGCTACTTGTCCATATTATGAGTGCGCCATGAACGTAAGTCGGCGCCCTTCCAGTATTCTTTGTTGTATGTTTCCTGCCTTCACCACTGATCACAATAATTTGAACATCGGATAATCCTGGATCTGCCAGTCTAGAAGAATTTAATCCACATGCTTTAATAACTAACCGACTTTTGGTTAGCCGTTGTCCATCTTCATGGTAAGTATTTGAACGCAACGCTTTGATCCTGATTATCGACTGTGTTGTTTCGGTATTCCGAAACGTCGGTCCGTTAACAGAGTCTGTCGAGTTAATGTAACTGCCAAATTGCGTAGAATCTTAAGTTTAAAATTGTTGTAGTTGGAGTATGCAATGGTCTGTGAATGTGAAAACATTATCTAGCGCGCGCTGATGATCAGCGGAAGGGATAAACATCTGCTGGACTGAATCATGGGACAGATTTAATGTTCTAGAAAAATTCCTGGTTGAAGATTCAACCCCGGATGTCGTACAGTTATGCTTACCTTAATTTCCGTACAGTTACCATACAGTTATGCTTGCCTTAATGACAGAGAATCGCATTAGACTTGTGTTGTACGGGAAATGGTAGGCACGGATGCCGTTTCCATAAGCGGAAGGCGAACGATTCGCCAATCTGCGAATACGGCTACGTGTAAAACGTTAAGCACTGTCGCATATACACTCGCTGCGGTTAAAAGGCTATTCACATGACAGCTAAGGGACTGTGAGAATGGAAAATTGAACTCTATGAGCATTTATGTTGTGCTCTGTCATGCGAATGATAAAGTCGAAGTTGAATTGCTTAGGCATGAATCAGTATTAGAAACAAAGACTGTTGAAATGTCACACATACGTTGAGATGCTGCTAAGTTTAGATAAGACGAAGGCAAACCGGTCAGTGAGTCTGCTCTTAAAAGGAATGCTTTTCATTCCGTTGTTGGAATGGAGAAGTAAACAGAAGAGCAGTTTACGTAAGCCAAAAACAGAACTAGTGATGTTTTATATAATCTTCCATGACCATGTCTCTCCTGACAGCTATGGTCTTAGTGGTTGACGACGATATTTGCGCAATTCAAGTTTAAGATCTAATGATGAAAAGGCGTCTCTTGACACATTTTTTGCACCGATTCATTGAATAGGAATGATTCTTCATCATGAGGCTGCTGTTGCTAAGGTGAAACAGGCGTTGAGGTTCGGAATATGCTGAAATATTACTAACGTTGCATCAGGCCAAGTCAGATCGTCGGCGGGTTTCAGTGTTTGAATCAGGTATTCTATCTGTGGCTGGAAGAGCAACGATGTAAACTTTACTGACAAGTCGAATGACGTCCTTCATCATTATAGTTATCCGATTAAGGCCTCATGTTGATTTTGGGTAGCGATATTTATGTTGTCCGGAATGTCGATCTTTTATTAGTCACTTGTTTCTAATTGTTGAATTTCAGCGATTATTCGGTGTAAGTCTGGTGACCCTGGCGACACTATGATTGATTCGGAAAATGATCGACATATGCCCAGAATAAGGAAGGCAGTGATGCCGCAGATATTTACGTTACATCGTGGGCAAATTGTTAGTGATGATAAATTCAGCAATAAACCTGGTCAAAGTGATATGTATCCATCAAGCACATGCGTTAGACAGCATGGTCGTATGTATCGCAGTTGCCACCAAAGCACCATACTGTACTTGTTATCACAGGTCAGCTATTACTTGGTGATCATCGTTCAGCCGATTCCACTCAGGCATTCTGATATAAACTCCGTGCTATAAATTTCTTGTCAAAGAACCACATTACACCGCCCTGATGTTCCAAACTGCACTTATATGGATAATGCCGAACGGCTTCGCGCTACGTCCGCTGCTGCCTCATTGAATGTTACGAAACTCAGGTGAAAACCGATCAGATCGCACAATGCTGTTGAGCATAAGTAGCATAAGTACAGAGTTACTTCTTCTTTTTATCTGAGGGTATGTGAGCATTATTCTTTTTTTCGTTTGTTATGTTGGTTGCATGTCGATGCATGAGGGTCGGCATAATCTGCACCATTATGTTGTACCGAAGAAGTTTAGGTCTTCGGGTAAAAGGCCATGGCGAAAGCGTGCCGTGCTGGCTGACACGGTTGTCTAAAAAATCTGCTTCGAACACGGATATGCGAGCTTCGATTCCGCTCTAGGGCAGTCTTTTGTCTTATTGACGAATTCCCATCACGAGCAAGGAATTTGTCACACACTGCATTGTTGCGCACTCGGTAGATCGTCGAACTCAGTACCGATAGGTCCCGAGTTCAAGCCCGGTGGGAGTCACTCGCCCTTTTCTCTTCCGACGTTGATAAATCAGCACCACTCTGTGAGAGAGAAACAAGAGGTTATACACTACGCTTGTCTATGACTGGAGACTCTGCCTTAAAAAATAAGGCACCCCTGGCTAATGGCATAGAAACGTATGTCAACACACACCATGCCATTAACCGCATGAAAAGAACAGCGTTAAGATGGTCCAAACATTAAAATGAAGGAGGAATGAAATTCCAACGTTGAGCAACTTTCGTTTTCCTTTCCTCACGAAGGCACACATTTAACCGTATGAAGCTTCGGTGAAATTACGGAAGGCTGTTTTTGATTTATAAGTATTAGTGATGCATATTTTAATGCTACAGCGTATGAAAGCTGTTTATGTTATTTGTGTGTAAATTGTCCTAATCTGACTAATGTGTAGGCTCCATCTTTGGATTCGAAGCTGACGTGGGTTCGTCGGCTAAGAGAAATAATCGGCGAAAGAATTCTTCATGTTGGTAAGTTTTCGAACTCTGACCGAATCCATGTACTTACTTATTGGAAGCTGTTAAAAATTCTAGTATCCGCGATGTCATGAAAAATTTTTGTTCTTTGAAGCAGCAACATTTATCATTCTAATTTGCCATTAGCTCATCATTATGAGTATGGTTTTGCAATGTGCCAAAACGTTTGTGTTGTGATATGGAGATCTGGGAAATTTGAAACAGTTTGCCTTTGACCACCCACATCTGAGCTTAGGTGACGGGAATGGGGCAGGGGGAAGGCGGATTAACCGAAGATGGCCAACATGCTCTATAACACCTTAGAATCAGTCGGATTTATCGTGAGTTTGTTTTGAGAATTTTCTTTTGCCTCGAAGAGTATTGGATAATTGTTGTCGTTGATTGATACGTGAAGTCTCAGATAAAGGGGCATCCACGACACCTGCTTAGGGATAATAAATTAAAAGATCATTGGGAGACGTCATAGGTCCAATAAGGTTTCTAATTTGCCAGAAATTGTTACGCATCACTTCGTGAATGATGAAGGTCGAATTTTTTGGCACGTCATTTTAATTCACGTCACTGTTATTTAAATATCCCCTTTTAAGTAAGGATGGTTTTGTTATGTAATACATGATATTCCTTTCTCATAATCTGACTAAATTTTTGAATTCTGCCAAAAAAACTATCATCAGCAGTATTTAACAGCTTGTTTGTTTGAAACAAACGTATGTTTAAGAAAGAAATGAGAATTGTGTAGAATCCAAAGTCATTCGTATTGAAATGGAACTGAAGGCTCTAGGAAAAGAAAATCAAAAATTTGCAATCATAGGAACGACGGTCTCCCGTACATTCCTTAATTTTTAGCGCCTAATTTGCAGATTTCCGCGTTTTATTCCGTAACAACACCATCAGCCAGGAGCAACATGCTATTTTTCTTGCAATTTCACTGCCGTCGCACTACATATTCTTCTGTTAATTTCCTTCGCACTGCTGCTGGGCATCTTTCTTTGGAAATGGTGTGTGAGCTGCAATGACAGGGATTCGAATCCATGAATATTTGGCAGTAGGTCGGACGTTATATCAATTTAACTGCCCGGATCTCAGCTGCATTTATACTGTACCATCAATCGCAGCGGCAGACGCTACATTTCACTTGAGTTACCTTGTAGGTTATTGACCTTACTACCAACGCTTACGTTGTTAATTCAGAGTAGCTTCTTGACTGGTTTAAACTGACAGGAAGGACGGTTAAAAGTTGTCATAAATTATGATTAAAGGTTATTTAACTATTTGTATGCATGCATGCTACGTCATTATCTTCCTCAAAACATTGCAGTAGATATTTATCTGGTGATCTGGGCTTTCACGCAGTGGTCTTTAAACCCGTTAGTCCTAAAATTTTCTTTGGGAGATCAATTTTCAAATGGATCAGTTCTACGACCTCCATTCCGCAGTGCCTCAGTGCTGGGGATTCGAGATGCAGGTCACTCTGCCCAATGCTGACCCATTGACTCCCTGTAACATAACCTTTTGCTAAGGTTCATTGCCAATTATAATATTTTTGTGACCGATTTGTTCTCACCGCCTGTTTATATTTCATCGTTCAGTATAAATAATAATATTTCATCGTTCATGTAATATAATATTTCATCGTTCAGTCGATGCAAAGTCCAGAAACTTTTGCTACAAGAGACAAAGAAAGTTTAGGCAGATCAGGAGGGATGGACTGACGTAGTTAATAGATGTTTACTACTAAATCACTGATTGAGTACATTCAGGCGACTGTTGATATTTCGAAATTTGATATGTGTTTTTCTTAGATCTCACTTATCTGCCACCTCGGAAGATTTCGCTCAAAACTCAGGCGTCTTGTAGTAATACTGAAAATCGAATGTCCTGGTATGCTCACAGCGGTAGCGCATTGCTCTGCTGTCCCATTAGCGTTTATACTATGCTTTTAGCCAAAGCGATACTGGAAGTACAACTACCGAGGAAAGCGGAGACACGGATGTCGTCAGTTCGCTTTCAAAGCAGTCTGAGCGATCGATGAGCTCAGCGCGTAGCGTAAGTTCGTGTATTTATTTTCTGCAGTCGTAATTAATACTGACCGGTAACGCATAGATTAATCAAGGTTATTCACTCATTCGTGTATTTTTTCCCATTCATTCATTCTCAAAGCCCGACATTCCTTTCAGTTGCACTGGCAGCTGGTTCAATAGTCTTTTCGTAGATGTCAATCAACCGGTATAATCGGGCCATCTGGTCTGATTATATAAACCCCCATGCTCTTTTTTGACAAGGACGTTCGGTTTGCTTTTCGCTGCTGCGTCATTATGCGAATGACATCTACAAACCATCGTGATAGCATCTGTTACCTTACGGAGCGGAGCGTGCGGCAATTAGTAGATGTTTTTTACCTTTACATCTATTCTTTAGGAGAAAATATTTAGCCATTGGAATGTTTTCTTCACACTTTCGTTATCAGTTCATTTTTGGCTGCCTTCTTTTCATGAAGCTAATGGTCGGGTTGTTGGTCCATATTTCCGGTTATAAACAGCCAGGAGTACACATATTTTAATGCAGAGTCGACAGCGTAATGTTACAAGCATAGTATTTAGTCTCGTGTTTCCTTCCTTGGGAGTGTTAATCATTTATCAACTTGGGAAGGACGAAAATCGAGTGACTCAGACTATGGCTCGAACTCGTCACCTCTTTATTCTAAGTCGCACCTTCTACTGACCATAAAAGCCAGGTCAGAAGCAGCGTGATAAATTTTTCGCTCAAGGAACTTCATAGTTAAGAAAAAAATTGCCGTCCGCCAAAATTGAACTGGCGCTTGTGGAGTTCATAGCCAACCTTATATGATTGTGCGACCATGCCACTTGATGACTCATTTTTAATGTTTTTTTAACGCTGCTTGTTTAGCAGTGTTTCATGAATTGTGTAGGTAAGATTGTTGAATAGCCCGCTCTGTCCATTTTTTCTTTACGAACACAACATAACATGTCATGTTGAATTTTTTTGATAATATAGCTAGCAACGATTCGAATAATGATTTTATGGTCGAAATGCTTTGTGTACTTTTCGTGCATTTTGGTTGAGCGATGCAAGTGTTAATGATTTTGTAATATAATTGCTTTAGTCACTGGCCGAGATTTACGTGGTCGTCAAAGACCACAACCCGTCTCCGACTTGTGCTGCCGCTGGCGAAATTCTGATCACCGCCGGCCAGCAAGTGGAGTTTATAGAAAAGCACCCGGACCGCGGCGACCTGTGCCTTGCTCGCGTGATCGAAGTTGATTCCATTGGTAATGAGCTGTCTGTGCGCGAAGGATACGTTCCCCTAGGTAAATTGAAGCGATTGTCTCGTCCAAGTGGCTCCTGCAATGCCGACAGCTCTTCTTCAGGTACTGTTTTCGTGTTTTTGTTTTATCGACGTGTAAATTTATTGTCCATCCTTGCGTTTTGAACCTGCGGTGGCAAGAAAGAGTCTTTGCAATATGTCAGTAACTCCTTTGCATGATATGTAACGTTTTCAGAAAGTAACTGATGCTCATTCACTAAAATCTGCGAAAATATGTTAAACGACGGTTGCTTGTTTACCATAAAATAATTCCCTACGCGAATTGAAGTCGCATGGCTGTACAGAGAGCAGTGTGCGATATGCTGAAATAAAGCACAAGGCAAATTTAGGTGTGGTTTGCATAGGATAGGCTATTTACGACCAGCCTCAGGTCTCGTGGATTGATGTTTCGGGGACAGCGTTCTCTTCGCTGGCGTTTACCTGAGAATCATGCCGGGAAACTACCGTGTCGAATGTAGCTTTGATCTCCCGGATTTCGTAAGCGGCGGAGATCGTCATCGATCACATCTTTGCTGTTATAACATTTAGTACAGAGTGAGAAGAAAATAAAGAAATGGAAAGTTTGTAACATTTACAATGCCAGTCTTCCTGACTGTTTCATGACTTGGTCTTATGGCTCTTTTCATGAAGTCAACGGTGGTGTCTGATTTCAATTTCCATGTCACAGCAGCTAGGAGTTCTTTATTTTTATGGCAAAGTCGATAACATTTAAGTGGCAAGCACAGCGTATACTCTCCTGTTTCCTTCCCGTAGTGATACAGATTTATCAGCCTCAGCAGGATGAAGGGCTAATGATCCGCTCAGGGCTTGAATCCGGAATCTGTCTGTTCTGTGTTCAAGGATCTACCAACTGAGCAGTCTCGTTCAGTTTTTGAGAATAACCAAAAGAGTGAAAAAGACTCAGTTAGTCATGTACTCCTATTTTCTAGCAGGTTTCACATATGAATTACTTTTATCGAAGTGTCAACTCTTGTGACTGTTGAATGCCAAATTCATAATGGCTTGTTACGAAGTACGTTTTAGTTTACCACGGTGCTTGTTTTGTTCCTGAAGAAGAATGACGTCGGATAGTCGAAAAATTTAATTTTTGACATCGTTGAAATAAAGCGACTTTGAAAGCCGCGATGGATTTTACCTTAAATATCAGCGAACGACAGAACATTTCGCTTCCTTCAACTTCTCCGGATTTACAACGCCCTCTAGTGGGAACGCTTTAAATATGCCACGATTCCATTATGTTTTAGTACCTGCAGTACAGTGGTGCAGAACCGCACCACGTTGT